CACAACATATCGTCGGACTTGAAATAAGTTCCCTTGGACGGAGGTGGCCTAGTGGCAAATGGCAACTCACCACTCGCATGTCCGGTTGAAAATCCCCAATCGACACCTCACCAAGTCAATCAAACCTTCTACCCTCGCTCCCTCCAGAGACTGTAAATTGGTACAGATTCGTCTGGAAGGATGAAAAGACTGACGTGCACATCAGCTGGCCTCCGCAAGTCATTGTATTACATTGCATTCAATAAGCCACTACGATTCTGAATGGAAGTAGAATGCGTGCCGCTTCCCAAAAAGTGATTGATCAACGCCGAAGACTTTATTCTTCATCCTCGTGTACTGAACTGAGGAGTCAACAAAAAGCGTCACATGCAAACTGCTGCTCCCGCATAATAGGCTGTATTCGAACAGGACTTTAGACTTTCCACACAAATAAAAAAGCAAAGCACTGTAAACCATACCTCTTTTGTAGTGGGTGGAACTGCCGTGTTTGTGTCGTCTTGCTGAAAAGATCGGCTGTACATTCGAGCTGATAATGAACGACTTAAGAAGAAGGAGGGAACTACATGCTAATGAATACATTCAGGCAGTTCGATGAATTGAGAGAAGACATCAGTGATAGAAAGAGTAGCAGAATCTATAAACTATACCTGTTTGGGAGTGGGTGGCACGGCAGTCTTCATATCATCCTGCTAAAATATTAGTGATAGATAAAAAATTACAAAGCGGCGCTATCCTGAGTCAGGAAAGCACATGCCAGTCAATGCATCCCGCAATCTAATAAATTTATGGAGAACTCCAGATTGTTTGTACAAATGAAAAGAGCGTAACCACTATGAACCGCTATGAACCGTACCTCCTTTGGAGTGGGTGGAACTGCGGTGTTCGTGTCGTCTTGCTGAAAATATCGGCGACATATTCAAACTGATGTGTCATTAATCCTCCTATTCTACTTTGTGTGTCGGATTGTCGGTATGTTTATGTATGTATGTATGTTTGTTTGTTTGTTGTCCGTCCGGAAAATGCTTCAAGGGATTGAACTGGTTAGATGAAAGGAGAAAAACGGCAGCTAGACAAGTATCAATCCAATGTTTCGATTGTGATAACAGCCCAGCTATATAAGGCAACCGTTTGGTACATTCCGAGCCACTGCACGAGCTGCTGGTGTGGCTTCGCCGCGCGTGCTTTCTTTCACATATTTCTAGATTCAACTGATATCCCCTTTTGTTCTGTACTCCACTTTTTTCCGGTGTCTGAAGTACTCTTGAGCTATTTTACAGATTCTTCGTCTGACTCCGCCCACCTCGGAGCAGGCCCGCCCACAATGTTTGTGCCCCACAATCCTCACCGACGACCCTCTGCTGACCTTGATCCACTTTTTTCCGGTCTTTGAAGTGCTCTGGGACCGTTTTGCAGATCTTTTGTCTGACTCCGCCCACCTCGGAGCAGGCTCCGCCCACAATGTTTTTGCCCCACAATCCTCACCGACGACCCTCTGCTGACCTTAATCCACTTTTTTCCGGTGTCTGGAGTATTCTGGAACCGTTTTACAGACCTTTTTTGTCTGGCTCCGCCCACCTCGGAGCAGGCTCCGCCCACAATGTTTTTGCCCCACAATCCTCACCGACGACCCTCTGCTGAACTTAATCCACTTTTTTCCGGTATTTGGAGTGTTCTGGAAACCGAGCTACAAACATTTAAAATGAATACCCTGCGATTTAGGGCAAGCCCCGCCCACTGTGGGCGGGTCTCAACACGCTTTGAGCGTGCCCTATATTCGCCAGATATTTACATTCTAAACTGAGCTTTTTGCGACTTCCAAACACTCTCGCGAACCGGGTTACTGAATTTTGCGAGAAGCACCGCCCACCTTGAGTACGCCCCGCCCATTTAGGGTGTACCTGCCACAGTTAGTCTGGCGACTCCTTACTAACCTTATTCCCTTTTTCCCCCATCTTTAGGCTGCCCCGGAAGCGAATTATGAACATTTTTGTGCGGAACCCCAAACTTTCGGGGAGTGCCCCGCCCACTGTGGGCGGAGCTTCCCTTAGGTCAAGTGTGCTTTTTATTTCTTGTCCCACGCCCTACCCATCCCCACCTTGACCGGACCTCTCCAAGTCGTTCTTCAGGTCGAACCGAATTTCCGGACAGACAAACTTACAAACAAACAAACTTACAAACAAACAAACAACAAACAAACAGACAAAGCGAATTATATATATGGGGTGACATTCTATTCTATAAACCAGTAGCTTTGTGTGTCGGGTTTTATGTGTGTATGTCTGTCCGTCCGCAAATGCTTCACGGGTTCGAATTAGTGGAAGGAGAATACGACCGCTAGACAAAACGGAAACCGATTGGTGCAGATGTATCAATCCAATGTTTTGATTGTGATAACAGCCTCCGCTATATAAGACAACCATTCGGTACACTCCGAGCCATTGCACAAGCTGCTCGCGTGGCAGCTGGACGTGAGCTCGCGCGTGGGTTGCTCCATCTATTACTATACGATCAAAACAGCAGAATGAGTAGCTAAGTGAACGAACAAATTCAATTCCATATGAAGTGTGCCTGGCGAAACCAAGCCGGCTAAAGAGAAGGAGGAGAGCTCGGCGTCAGCCGGGCGATCCGACTGGTGAACGACTAAAAAAGAAGGGGGAATCTACATGCTTATGAACACATTCGTGCAGTTCAATCAATTGAAAGAAGTGAACAGTACTAGAAAGAGTGCCAGAACCTATAAACTATACCTGTTTGGGAGTGGGTGGCACGGCAGTCTTCATATCATCCTGCTAAAACATTAGTGTTTAGAAAATAACAAAGTGGCGTCCTCTTCAGTAAGTCAAAAAACACATTTCAACCAGTGCATCCCGCAATCTACTGAATTTAGCGAGGACTTCAGATTTTCTGTATAAATATGAAAAAAAAGTAATCACTACAAAGCATACCTCCTTTGGAGTGGGTGGAACTGCGGTGTTTGTGTCGTCTTGCTGAAAATACTGGTGATGAAAATGAGAGTGGACGACTTCAGATTTCCCGTACAAATCAAAAAACGTGATTACTACCAAGCACACCTCCTTTGGAGTGGGTGGAACAGCGGTCTTCATATCGTCCTGCTAATATATTAGTGTTACGTGGAAAATTTTGAATTATTCAGCCGTTCTAGAACACCTTGAGAAAGGGACGCTCTTGAATACAGTAGGGTTGCGAAGCGGACTAAATAAAGGATACTCAGGTTCTCGATGCTACGAGAAAAGCAGGGCCAAGGGAATTCCACCTGATTGGTTGTGGCCTGGCACAGCAGTGTTCGCATCTTCCTAGCAAACGTGTATGAAAGATTCAAGAAAGATACTGCCAAAAGGTGTGCTGCCTTATAACGACTCAGCAGAGCCCTTTCACATCAGCTTTCCGATGTCTTTCGATGAGGTAGGAGAGAAGCGACTTTGAGATGTGTGGATTGAGGAGCTCTTCGTTATTATGTCATGATCCCAGATGACAAGTCCAATATCAAAGCGCGACGGTAGAAAGGGGTAGGAGAGATGCCCGGCGTGGAGCGCAGACTGAGCCGGCTACCAGATGAATCCTTCTATCCACCGCATCCCTACTGAACATTGCAACTCCGATAGATGTCTTCAACAATATGTGACCCTACGCTCAGTGCAGTGCTCGCAACGTCGTATCTTCGCACAATCCACCCGGCGTCCCTAGATCACCATTGACAACTAACTTTGGAGCCCGCTGCGCCTCTTGTGCCTTGCCAATCTGCTAGGGTGGGTGGATCTCTAACAAAAGGAACAGCGCCAAGGCAACGCTTTTAATTGCTGAATCGGCTCATTCCCTCCGCTCCAAGTCACGTCAATCTCCTTTCGTTTCCCTACTCGCTCATGAGAAAAAGCATGCCAATGAGGAAAAGGCCAGGACTACCTCTCCTCGAAAACACCACCTAGCACAGCTAGCCCTGTTGCCTAGCTGGTTTCGGGTTGCAACCCTTTATCGACAACATCGCCCGCTAGAGTTCGATGGTTATTTATAAAACGTGACTGTTCCAGGGCCGCGAGACAGCAGCCGTCACATTAACTACATCCCGTCCCAACTCAAACACGAATCCACCATCTTCGTCGACGATCACCTCGGATTCCACGTCGCGGTTGCACGCTGTGGTCAAAGGAAGCTTGTCCTGGGTCAAGTCTCAGCATTGCAAACCTTACCATATTGAGAAGTCGTGCCGCGAATGTCCCTGAATGTCTGCTGCCTGGAGTGCCGCTTTCGCTTCCTTGATTCACAAGCACACAAGCTTTCCACCTAATGTGCAAACGTCGGGTCGCTGCGGATGATGTCGCGAAGGTGGAAACAGCAGGAGCGCGAGAGATGCGCCAAGCGCAGACTGGGCCCCCCTTGACGATTTCTGAACATCTCCCTACCAGGAGCTGCATGCTGCGTGGTATGCAATTAGAGGGTAGTTCTACGTTCATTCTTTGCGCGCACGCCCCAATCATTATAGGGAGAAAAAGACCTAAAACCGAGCGTCTTAAGCAAGCATTTATGACCAAAAATTTACAGAAAATTCCAAAGTGGCGCTCCCATTCAGCGATTCGATTAAGCGCATGCCAACCAAAAGCATCCACGCAAATGAACGATTTCAAGGAATGCCTCAGATTTCCCGTAGAATTGAAAAAAAGCGTAACCATCTATTTTTTGGAGTAGGTGAAGAGCGTCGTGGCTAAAATATTAGTGTCAGGCCAAAGTTACATATAGATGTGCCATTACTGAACCACAAAAAAGGAAGTACATGGTAATCAGTATTCGTGCAGATCGATAAACGAAGAGAGGACTCGATGTTTTTGGTGCCGAAATGGTAGCAGTAGGTACCTGTTCCTGAGGGGTGGCACATCAGTCATCGAAACATTATAAGAAGCTTTCTCATCCTCAACAGTGCCCACAATCGACCAAAGAGTAGAAATATTTTGGAATGCAAGATGGCAGAGCTTGTGGTTACAGAGGACATCCCACTTCCGTGCTCAAAAGCGCATGATAAAAGCGCGGCAGCTCAGCAACGATAAGCTGATTCCGCCTATGAAGGCTTATCGCTGCAACAAGTTCCACCTCGATCATTTTTTTAATACCAGGATACGTTAGCGGTAGTGATCACTGATCTTATCGAGTATGCCTTGGAGAATGCGTCACAGCAAGTGGCGACTGGATTAGAGAACTCGCCCGAGGTTTAATTGTCTCGTCCATTTTCAATCCCGTACATGAGGTCTTTTTATTATAGATTACCAGTTTGGCTGACGCACACTACTGCCGTCCGGCCGGGGTGCTGATTCCTGATAGGATTTCTGTGCTGACCACTAACACTTGGCTTGATTCCATGTCTCTAAGTACGGCCTACTGCACCATATTTCATCTTTTCAATGAACCTTTGATAATGTCTGATGCTTATCACCTTTCTAAAAACACCCATCATTAAATAGGGCAACTTAGCGGTTGAAAGAAGTTCGGTGGTAACATTATCCAAGTCTTGGTGGAAGCTACTTATTTCCTAGCGTTTCCGTTGAGCAGCTTTCAGTCCGTCTGCTGGTGGCCCTTATCACTCCTCACTGACAAACATCTCTAAGCTTTTACTTTTGGAGGAATCTTCAGAGTTTAGCGGTTGAATCGTTTTGGTCTATATAGCACAAGAATAGAAAGTGCCTGGTTCACCAAGTCTTTGCTCATCGATTCCTGGACCACAGTGGTGAAGCTCAATCGCAAGCAGAGGGAGGGGGACAGATACTAACTCTAAGCCCTTGTCAGGAGCAGTATCACAACATGTCTCTTGCTACCAAAGTTTCCCACCATGTTCGTCTGAATCACTTGCTGGAGGGTAGTTCCCAGTGTTGCTACGACTCGTGTTGTTGTGTCCTATCAGCTGTTATAACGTCTTGCCACCCACCGATAAAGTTCCCATCCTGCCCCCTTTCTTACTTCGTGGAAACCACCTTGCCGTCGCTGTGGCGCAATTTATAATGTTGATGAGCTTCCCTTTGTAAGGCCTCTTATGGTATCTTATCAGCTGTTATCACTGCCTGCCACCCACCAATAATGTTCCCATCCTGCCCCCTGTCTTACTACTTGGATCCAAGGTTCCGTCGTTGCTCTGGCCGGTGCTATGAATTTGGTGACCCTCCCCTTCTAGAACCCCTGTGCTATCTTATCAGCTCTTATCAGTTCCTGCCACCCACCGAAAATGTTCCCATCCTGCCCCCTATCTCTCTACTTGGATCCAACGCCCGGCCGTTACTCTGGCCGGTGTTATGAGTTTGGTAACCCACTCTTTTTAAGGCTCCTCATGGTATCTTATCAGCGGTTATCACTGCCTGCCACCCACCAATAATGTTCCCATCCTGTCCCCTGTCTTACTACTTGGATCCAAGGTTCCGTCGTTGCTCTGGCCGACGCTATGACTTTGGTGACCTTCCCCTTCTAAGACCCCTGCGGTATCTTATCAGCTCTTATCAGTTCCTGCCACCTACCAAGTGTTCCTGCCCGACCCCTACATCACTTATCAGTTTGAGCGCTCTGCCGCTCCTTTGAAGGAAGTTATGAATTTCCGGTCAAACACACACACATACACACACACACAACAGACAAACTTAGCGGATTATAATAGTACGATTTTCAACGGTTTCATTGCTTTTTCTTCGTTAGCATTGTACATTCGATATGACCTGATGGTTCAAAGGTCTACAACTTGTGAAAGGCGATCGCGCGCGCGGTCTTTGATGATTCAAGGAGCACATTCACTTTTTAATTACGTAATTTGGTCATTTACAAGAGAAAGAGTTTTTCGGTATGGAGTGGGAAGCGGCACCGTATAAACTCACTATGGGTGGTACAGCGGTGTTCGTATCGTCCTGCTAAAATATGCGTATACAATCCAAAAATCTGAAGTTTCCTACTCTCCCCTGACGAGTCAAGAAAGGAGCCATGCTATCTGACAATCATGTTAGATAAATTCTATAAACCACTAATTTTATGTATCTCCGTCAGAAAAATGACTTCCGAGTGCGATAGCGAGAATGATAGCAGAAATCAGCAGCTATCCAAATCAGAAAGCAGCCGGTGCTACAGTAGCAATCTGGGGATGTTTTGATTGTGAGACAACCTCCTCGGCTATACAAGACAACCTTACGGTAGGTTCGCAGCCGCTAAACTACGTGCTATTTCCCGTGCGGGATGTGGCCAAGAACGGAGGCGCTCGGTATACTCAGTATGCTGTTCAAGCGGCTAATCTGAAGGGTTGCTCAAGTTCATGCATTAGTTATCGTAGGCATTTTTGAAGTGAATTCAGAGAAAGGAACGGACTGAAGCAGTGCCTTGGCAGTACCCGTAAGTTCTGAGGTTTACAACCAAATCTGATTCGCTGAGTACTGGAGTGTATTGCACACGGGAGTGGGCATTAGCGGAACTATTTTCCTGAATTACAAGAGCTAGGCTTCCGTTGAAGGCAGCTGGGATAAATCTCCGAGACACGCGTAACAGAACCGCGCTCGACGCTCTTGAGCAAGCGCTGCGTGGCGCCTTTTTCGCGGAGGGCACCCTTACAGCGAGCACCCCATCAAGCTGCAACATACCGACTCGGACGTTCAGCGCATCTGCTTGCCCACAAATGTCCGACCAATCCTAATGCACCTTCAACTTGTGAAGTACAGTATGAGGCTAAGGGATTAATTTCAAGCGGCTGCGATGCTGTATGGATATACAGGGACATACACGCAGCTGCATCGTAGCAGTTATCGGCACGAAGCCAATGGGGAAGTCGTCCGAAATCGCTTTCTGAGTCATCTAGGACAAAAGCTTGTTGTTCAAGTTTTTGACTGTTTCACTTCGCTTTTTCGCCTTTTTACCCACTATTAGCACCCCTACGGTATGGCTACGGCCTAGGAAATCATCTACACCGCAGTCGCCAAGGGCGGGTTGATGGTATGGACCGGCGGTCCTGAAATGAAAAGACCGATATTTTCTTTGTGGGCCCTGGAATGGAAGTGAGCGCTGACGGTTACATCGACAACTCGTGGAGAATATCCTGCCTTCATGTCATCGCCTGTACCTTCTTGGAGAACTTCGT